ATTTGTTAGGCCAGGCTCAGTGGCTCATGCAGGCCAAGGTGGGAAAATCATTTGAACTCAGGAGTTCAAGACCAGACTAAGCAACAGTGAGACTGTGTCTCTACTAAAAGTAGAAAAATTAGCCAGACATGATGGCAGGTACCCATAGTCCCAACTACTCAAGAGGCTGAGATAGGAGGATTGCTTGAACCTAGGAGTTTTAAGGTTGCTGTGAGCTAGGCTGATGCCATGGCACTAGTGAGACTGTCTCAAAAAATAAACCAATTAAGGGGGACGGCGCCTGTGGCTCAGAGGAAGAGGGCGCTGACCCCATATGCTGGAGATGGCGGGTCAAACCCAGCCCCGGCCAAAATAAATAAATAAATTAATTAATTAATTAATTAAATAAAATCATTGGTTAAGTTAGCAAATGTTTTGTGAGGGTCTTCTATGTACCAGGTAATATTTGCTAGTGTATTTGATGGTGTTCTACAAACTGGAAAGCCATATGTGTGCAAATTCACCATGAGTATACTACAAAAAGAGACATGTGCTTCTTTTTGTCTCCCCCTATTCACCTTAGTGATATCTCTGAGTCCCTCCTCGATAAGTGCCTCTATACCAACCACTCTCCTCATCCTGACATCTTGATACGGACTTCTGGTGAAGTGCGGCTGAGTGACTTCTTGCTCTGGCAGGTAGGTGGTTTCTAAGCACCATTTTGTTGATGTTAAGCTGAAAATTGCAACTGTACACACAGAACGGATGAGAGTGGTTCATCCTCTCTCTCAGACATTCTGGGACCAGAGAACTTGGAGGGAGAAGCTAAAATCTAGGGACGTATCTCCAGGTTGTGCCTGGTGACTTTTGCTATCCTTTCTCCTTCTTGTCCCTGGCTTTGTGAATCTGTATGATTCTTCTTGCTCTCGAAGTGGAATACATCCAACCTAGAAGGAAAATCAAAGTTATCCAACTGTAGTGAAAACTTCACTTGTGTTTCTGTGTGAGGAATAGGGCTTCTGGCTTGGAAACATACAAAGTCTCATTATATTGCCCTCGGTAAAGTACCGTAGTGCTCACAGTAACCTCAAACTCTTGGGCTTAAGCAGTTCTCTTGCCTCAGCCTCCCAAGTAGCTGGGACTACAGGCTCCAAGATGTATAAATGAAGGACAACACATGTTCTAATGTAGCGGTTGTCAACCTGTGGGTTATGACCCCTTTGGACTGTATTAAAGGGTTGCAGCATTAGGAAGGTTGAGAACCACTGTTCTAATGGATCTATCTGCTTTAGATGTGAGGCTAAATGACTATTGGCAAATTATTCATCTTTTTTGAGTATCAGTTTCCCTATTGATAAAATGAGGCTCATTTATAAAATGAGCTCCCTTATGGAGTTGTGAAGATTTAAAATCATTTGGTAGAGCAAGGCATAGTGGTTCATGCCTGTAATCCTAGCACTCTGGGAAGCCAAGGTGGGTGGATCTCCTGAGCTCAGAAGTTTGGAACCAGCCTGAGCAAGAATGAGACCCTGTCTCTACTAAAAATAGAAAAACTGAGGAAGCAGGATGACTTGAGCCC